CAGTCGGTATAAGCTGTAAACGAAGTGGCACCAGTGTCTAGTAAATTAATATTGATCTCACCAACAATGAGCACATCCTTGTTTTCTAAAGATAGTTTTGAAAGTATGTCATCAAGACCAAGCAGGAAATCGCTGACTGAAGATGATGGTGAACGATAAATCCACCCAAGAACCATGTTCTTGTTTCTGTGATTAAGTGATGAGTGGTCGACTTCTATCCACACTGACTCGCAGTGGTTCACGTTAAATATGAGATCAGATCTACGTGTGTAAATGATATCCTGAGAAATGAAAATGGCTGCACCACCGTGATTGTCTGTTTGTCGATAGCAATATTCTGCTTGATAAGATAGAAAGCCATGCATGTTGTTGTCAGTGTCTGAAAGCCAAGTCTCTGATATGCAAATGAAAGTGAAGGCATGCTGAAAAGAAGCGATGAAGCTATTAATCGCTTCTTTGTTCTTGCGAAGGCTACAGGCATTGAAGTGAATGAGCGATCGTTTTCTTGCAATAAGACGACATTTTGCGTCAGCAGAGGAGAGAAAAGCCATGTTAAGAGAAAGAAGAAAAGGCAATAAAAAATAACACTGAACAAACAGTGACAATATAATGCCTTACAAGAAGATTCGAAGGTCGGACTCGGTCATAATTCGATAGACCTTGTTGTCATCAGTTTTGCGGGCTTTTATCTGGCAATTATCTGTCAATAAGTAATTCCACTTATTTTCTTTTTTGAGTGCCAGTGCTTTCGAGAATAGCTTTTTGCTGTCAATTGTCAAGTGATCGTTTACATATATTGGCATGCTAGTGGTACTACCGAGACCAACGTTGTCAGTGCGAAGTCTAGCCCTTCGTGCCTTCTTGATGAACTACTTTTTTTCTCATGTGAGCAGAGTCAAGCAATGATGCTCTTGTCACTCAACTTTGAGGAGCTGACTACTGTGCTATCGGAAGTAGAGGCGGTTGTGAATTCGAGGCCTCTCACTTACATCGAGTCTGAGAGGGGGGAACCTCGTGCGTTAACCCCAGCAGACCTCATTATTGGAAGGAAACTTACGGTGCTACGAAAGGGCGGAAGTGACACGCCAATGAACCTATTGTGCGCGGAAGCTTCACGACGGCATGCATACAGAAAACGGCTAAGTGAAAACTTTTGGAACCGGTGGACAAAAGAATATCTGCTTCAACTTCAATCAGCGTACTTTTCGCGTTCTAGACCCACCAAAGAAGTTAAAGCAAGAGACATCGTGATAGCATCATGAAGAAAATTACCCAGACAAATGTGGAAACTTGCAAGGGTTCTGGAAGTCTACAGAGGAGCTGATGACCATGTCGGTTCATGCAAGATCCAACAACAGCGAGGGGTTGTTACCACAAGGCTGATACGAAAACTTTATTCGCTCGAGCTGAACTAGTGACTTGGCGGCCGGGAGTATGCTTAATCAAGGGCAGCGCCAGGTCAAACCGAGAAAGAAGAAGTGCCTCCTTCCTCAAGAAAGTCCGTGCTCACAGGCACTTGCAGCCAGGAATCGACTAAGACGGCTAAAAATAAATGTCGTTCGTAATGTTTGAGCCTCGCTTCTTGCCAGTGAACTGTATGCCATTTTAAACAGTTTGGTGCCGAAGATCCGGGAGCTGCTACAAGGGACCACGGACGACTACGGTAGGCTACGAGTGAACTGAACGCTATGGAGAGACTGAAACAGAAGCGGACGTCGAGACAATCTCCCAACACCAGGATTATTAACGAGGCAAAAGCTCTTCTCGGCGATGCAACAGCCGCCATCGATCAGCTTAATGCCATGTGCGGAGGTTTGAAGGCGAACAACGATGAGCTGAACCAAATCAACAGGGAGTTAGAGAGCCACACACCAGGTGAAGAGTTTGAGGAAGAGTACGACGCCATCCTTGAATACAAAGACAACGCTAACAGTGTCATGAGTGAGTTTCTTAGTAAGCACGACTGTATTGTTGTGGCCACGTCATCAGCACCGGAGCTTCAGACTTCGTTTGTAGCGAGTACTGTAGGAGCCTCTGGTGCCAAGCTTCCCAAGCTTACCATCACCCCATTTTCTGGTGACCTGTGCTAGTGGAACGACTTTTGGGAGCAATTTGACCAGATGATTTACCGGAACGGAAACCTCACGGCAACAGACAAGTTCAACTACCTGAGGTTCTTCCTAAGGGGGCGACGCTGCTTCAGCTATTTTGAGCCTGCCAAGCACAGAAGCTTGCTACAAGGACGCCATCGACATACTCAAGAAACACTTCGGTGACAGGACGAGACTCAAGCAGGAGTACTTCTCCAGGCTTCGTATGCTGCTTTCAGTCCGTTCAAGTGACCCCACAGCTCTTCGCAAGCTGTACGACTAGGTCATCATCAACATCAGAGGACTGGAGACCCTTGGGGTGAGCAAGACGTTGTTTTCGGCAATGCCGTGCGACATATTGCTGCGGGCTTTACCACAGGATCTCATTGTACAGTAACATCGGTCATGCGCCATTCGGGCGGTGAGCTACAGCAATAATGAAGCCTCTAACATGGAGCTGGAACGTCTATTAAGTTTCTTGTCTATCAAAGTGGAGAGCTTAGAGAAGAGTGAGTTCGCTAACCATCGTGGAAAAGACAGTCGTAATGATTATGCACAGAACAAATCACGACTGTCTCGTAGCTCAAAACCCACGTCCTCAGTTCGCCATAACAACACAAGGAAGGTACCTGAGAACTGAGTGTTTTGCAAATCGAATCAACATTCCACGGAAGAGTGCTCGCTGGATCTCCCGCTACCAGAAAAGAAGCGCATTCTATCAGCAGACATGAGGTGTTTTCGATGCACGACCAAAGGTCACAGGGCGTGTGATTACAGGCGCAAGATTACGAGCTCTACCTGTCAAGGACATCATGCCACAAGCTTGTGTGGTCCGCAGAAATTAAGCCAGAAATCAAGCCAGAAAGAATATCTGCTTCAACTTTGATCAGCGCACTTTTCGCGTTCTAGACCCACCAAAGAAGTTAAAGCAGGAGACATCTTCATAGTCCACGAAGAAAAATTACCCCGACAAATGTGGAAACTTGCAAAGGTTCTGGAAGTCTACAGAGAAGCTGATAACCATGTCCGTTCGTGCAAGATCCAACAACAGCGAGGGGCTGTTACCACAACGCTGATACAAAAACTTTATTCGCTCGAGCTGAACTAGTGACTTGGCGGCCAGAAGTATGTTTAATCAAGCGCAGCACCAGGTTAAACCGGGGAAGAAGAAGCGCCTCCTTCCTCGAGAAAGTCCGCGCTCACAGGCACTTGCAGCCAGAAATTGACCAAAACGGCTGCAAATAAATGTCGTTCGTAATGTTTAAGCCTCACTTCTTGCCAGTGAACCGTATGCCATTTTAATCACCTTTTTATGCAATAAACTTGTGCACCTATATCATATACACCACCTTTAAAAGCTCCTTTTAATGTTTTATTTCGCTGCACATTTTCATACTTCAAAGAAACATACTTGAAAAACGGTCATAAAACACAGGACAAAGCCCTACAACTAATTATTTTCTTTATTTAGAACCGAGAATGCCATCCCAGCAATCCTCCACCCACAATAACAAACCTTCATACGTAAGCTCATTCATAGCTGTGTGTTTGGCTTTTCTTTTATGTCCATTTTTCCTCACATTCTCAAGTATAAAACTGTGGGGCAAAAGCAAACAAACTCGCCTAACTTCTTGCCACACCAAACACACCATGACGTCGACATAGGTTCAGATCATTCGAATTCTGGCCCATAATCTGGGGCATATCATGAATTTGTGTACTGGTTTCAATAAGTTTTAAAGAAGCCTGAATCAGATTTGGTTGCATTTTTGTCAATTTTGTCAGATCACACATAGAAATTTTGATTTCCTGGAGATCTTCCTGCCGAGCATACACAAACATAAGAAATCAAAATCTTGGCATGGCTTGCGCTCAATGTCACGATGTATGCATGCTGCAGCTTCTTTTGCTATGCATAGCTTCCAGCACAGTTGTTAGGATAGAGAGACTCTGTGGCACAAATTAATTGTTTTTTTTCTGAAACTGTAGAATGCTCTAATATCAGAAGAAGGTCTTTGATACCACAAATGACGACACACGGACGTCTTCTTGTGTCCTCGTTTTTAGCATCACCCATTTCGAAGATGCACTGATATTGCGCAAGTGACAATGTGGAAAACAATGCTGTTACAGTGTTAGTTCAGCAGGAAAATGGCATTAGTTTCGAACACAATGACTATACTTGTGATTAGAAGTGATGTTCTACACGTGATGACATTGGCTGAATGTCATGATTGGTATAAGGTGTCAAGTCACATGTCACATTCATATTTTTCCAGGAAGGCCACACTATTGTGGGCTAAAAATTATAAAGACACTTATTATACTTTCTCAAATACAAAACAACTTCTGTTTCAAATATGTAGTCTTGAAAACAATTTGAAAAAATATGATGCCAGGGGCATTGAACAACTGCTCCCATGAGGGAAGTTTCCCGGTATGTATCTGTACGAGGCTCATAGCGATTGGCCTTTGACATCAGTGGGAGAGTGAAAAACAAAAGGGAATGTTTTCCATCAACCGGGGTTTTGAGGTTTGGAGACTAATAATTATGGAACTATTTCGATAATTCTTGTGTTCATTTCAGTATTCAGCACGCACACTCCAGTGCTGTAAAACGCAGACAAAAAAATGTCCTTTAACACATGTGACCAATCTCGTGTAACCCTCCACTCACTCTTGACACATTTTAAAGCATATTGCAGCAATCAATTTGTCAGGCGGTTCGACAATTACAGCATTTCAGCACCCTTTTCAACCAGCTTAGTTAGTTCCCATTCACATAAAAAAAAATACCATAAAATGGTAACACTAAAGCATAGACTGCAACGTTCACAGTAACTCCCCTAAAGGTTGCACCATCACTTCAACAAAATTCTTTATAATATTGATTGGCAAACAATGGCATACCTCGGCATTCACCAGCACGGTGTTGATTAAGGACATGTAAGCCCTTATGTCAGCCTTCTGCTGCACAGACATGTTCTGGGTGAGCTGGATGCCCTGAAACACAAGGGATAATTACCCAAATTTGTGCATCAAGTACTGTCAGCAGATGAATGGCATAATCAAATCAAATCATTGTTTATTTCCCAGAAAAAATACAGTCTCTGGAGAGGTTCACTGGCTAAAAGCTGTTTATGGACAGCTTGACGATGCTAGTGAACCCTATACAAGACAGTTGGGACGATGGCAAAAATTTGTAATACAAGCTAACATTAATATAACAAAATATGGTGTGAAAAAAACACATATATATATATATATATATATATATATATATATATATATATATATATATATATATATATATATATATATATATATATACATTGCTACCAAACACATTCCCTGGTATTTTGACATAAATGTTTTCATGATAGTGGTGTTATAGTTGTTCGATTTTTCTGTTTTTTTTTTTCTTTCTCTTTTTTTCGCATCCTTATAAGTATTTTCTGTGCTATGTTTAGTGCCAGTATGTTTTGGTAGCAATATATATATGTATTATGAAGAAGAAAATGCATCGTTGGCAAGCAACGTCGCCACCACTTGGGTACTGGGTCCTGGGCTTCGCTCGCTCGCCTCGTGCTGATCGTCGCCGGCATCTGCTTGACCGTTGCTCTGCCCCAATCGTGTTTTCATCCTAGGGCCACCGTCACATCACAACGCACGCCAATAAACCCCTTTTCAATTGGTGAAGGGTGCTGACATTCCCCGTCACTTTAACCTGGGTGCGGCCGTTTGCCGTCCCCTAAACCTGGAGCTGCGCAACCGAACGCTACCTCCCATCATGGCCACCAACAACGCGCAACCTGGCTCTTCCACTCCATCCTCCAGCAACCCTGGCGTTCTTCGCTTGCGAGAGCCGAAGGTCTTTAACGGAGCTGATGAGACCAACGTGGAAGACTGGTTCACTAATTACGAACTGGTGAGCGCAAACAAGTGGGATGATGCGGACAAGTTGACTGACGTCATCTTTTATCTCGCTGACGTGGCCGAAATGTGGTATAACAACCACAAAGACGACATTAGGACGTGGTCCATCTTCAAAACGTCGTTTGCCGACGTTTTTGGCCGACCCGCAGTCCGGGTGTCCAGAGCCGAACAACGCTTGCGGACTCGCGCTCAGAAGCCAACGGAATCGTTCACCAGCTACACCGAAGACATTATGGGTCTTTGCAACCGCGTGAACACCACCATGTCCGAGTCGAAGATTCAGCACATGCTCAAAGGGATAAATGATGGCGCATTTCAGATGCTCCTGGCCCGTAATCCTGCCACCGTTGCGGAACTTGTCACTTTGTGTCAAAGTTTCGACGAGTTAAGGAAGCAGCGCGCCCTGACTCGGCCATTTTCCTCACACGCCGACTCGCTCTCCAGTCTCACTTTCGTTTTCGATCACTCACCAACCCTGCAAAAGATTAAAGACTTTGTGCGTGAAGAAGTAGCTCGGCAACTGTCGATTCCCTTCACGCAGCAGCCGCCGTCCTCTCGTCTGCTTTCACCACTCCGCGACGCTATTGCCGAAGAGGTAGCTCAGGCTGTTTCTGTCACTGCCCACCAGCAGCCTGTGGCCATGCCTGTTGCGCCGGCTATGCAGCCCGTGGCCGCGCCTCTTACGTATGGCCAGGTGGTACGCAGCAGACCCCGGCAGCAGCAATTGCCACCCATGTCTTCAGTTGCTCCCCGCTCCACCCCTTTTTCGACACCTTGGGCCGCACCGCGAGTCAGCAATTCCTGGCGCACTCCTGACAATCGACCGATCTGCTATGCCTGCAGTACTCCAGGACACGTGGCACAATAATGTCGCCGTCGCTTCCAACCACTCCACGACGCTACTCGGCCGTTACCGTATGACTCACAGCCCATGCACCTACCTGCTCCCTATCCCTCACCGCAGTATGGATACACTAACCTTCCCGAGTCTCGCCCATCCCAGCCCCCATCTCAGACTCACTTTCCTCGCTCCCCATCTCCTTGCAGGCGATCACTGTCCCCAATGCGTCCCCGACCCGCTTCCTCCAACCGGTAAAACTGAACGCCGCAGTTCCAGAGGCAAGAACTGCGCCATCGTCGAAATGCTTAAGTCTTCGCACTTCACCTGCTAACATCGTCGCCATATCTGTCGATGGTGTTTCTACCTTTGTCCTCGTCGACACAGGTGCTGCCGTTTCTGTTATAGCCGCCCAGCTCTGCCGCTCCCTATGCAAAGTGACCATGCCGCTCTCTGGACTATCGCTTCATACGTCTAGCGCACAACCAGTTCGACCTCTTGGCACCTGTACGACCCGCATATTCATCCAAAGCTCTATATACGATGTCGAGTTCATCGTCCTTTCGGTGTGCTCGTATGACGTTATCCTCGGGTGGGACTTTCTGTCAAATCATCAAGCCGTCATCAACTGCGCAAGTGCTGAAGTTGAATTTTCGCATCTGTCTGACGAACCTTTGCACGAAACACTTGAGCGGTCGCCAAAACTCGTCGTGCGTGAGGACACTGAAATTCCGCCAGCTTCTCTTGCCGTTGTCCCTGTTTGCTGCGATGACCATAACGATGCTACGGTAATGTTTACACCTTCGGACATTTTCATGAGCCGCAGAGCCATTTCTTTGCCTTTCGCTACACTTGACACCACGGCTGGCAGAAGCAATATTTTCGTTCACAACCCCCTTTCTGCACCACTACATTGACACCGGTTCACACCAGCCATTGCGTCAAAGACCGTACCGTGTCTCTGCTCCAGAACGTCACGTTATCAACGACCAGGTCGAAAAGATGCTACGCCGTGGCATTATTCAACCATCGCACAGTCCTTGGGCATCCCCTGTCGTTCTAGTTCGAAAGAAGTAGGGATCGATTCAATTTTGCGTCGACTACCGGCGATTAAACAAGGTGACGCGGAAAGACGTCTATCCATTATCGCGCATCGACGACGCCCTTGACAGCCTCCAAGGAGCCGAATTCTTCTCCTCCTTAGACTTACGATCTGGATACTGGCAGGTCCCTATGGCAGAAGCTGATCGCCAGAAAACTGCATTCATTACACCAGATGGCCTGTATGAATTTAACGTAATGCCATTTGGGCTTTGTTATGCCCCTGCCACGTTTGAACGACTCATGGACAACACACTGCGTGGACTGAAGTGGTCTGTGTGTCTATGCTACCTCGACGACATTGTCGTTTTCTCTGCCGATTTTCCTACACATCTGCTTCGGCTCCAACTGGTTCTGACGTGTTTAACCAACGCTGGGCTCCAACTGAACCTTAAAAAGTGCCGTTTTGCCGCGCGAGAGCTGTCCATGTTAGGGCATATCGTGTTCAAGCATGGTGTTCTACCCGACCCTGCAAAACTGCGAGCAGTCGCAGAGTTCCCGAAACCTACTACACTGAAAGAATTACGCAGTTTTGTCGGACTATGCTTGTACTTCCGGCGCTTCGTTCGAAACTTTGCGTTGATCATGTCACCACTGACCAACCTGGTGATGGCGCAGACCTTTCATCCTGGTCTCCTGACTGCGACGTCGCATTTGCCACGCTCAGTAGTCTGCTAACATCTCCTCCCATTCTTCAGCATTTCGACCCAACAACTGCAACGGAAGTTCATACAGACGCTAGCGGGGTTGGTCTTGGCGCTGTCCTCGCTCAACGCAAGCCGGGCTACTCCGAATACGTCGTCGCTTGTGCGAGTCGCACGCTCACTAAAGCTGAGGCCAATTACAGCGTCACTGAAAAGGAGTGCTTAGCGCTAGTGTGGGCGCTTCGCAAGTTCCGCCCTTATTTGTACGGTCACCCATTTGACCTGGTAAGGAACCACCATACACTTTGTTGGCTCGCCACATTGAAAGATCCTTCTGGCCACCTAGCTCGGTAGGCACTGCAAATCTAAGAGTACGACATTCGCGTCATCTATCGCAGCGGACGCAAGCATTCTGACGCCGACGCCTTGTCCCGTTCGCCTTTACCTCCTGACTCAGCCTGCGAAACCACTAGTACCAACTCCATCGCATCTCTCGACTTCGACTCCTTTGCCAGTAAACAACACAATCGCCACCACTTGGGTACTGGGTCCAGGGCTTCGCTCGCTCGCCTCGTGCTGATCGTCGCCGGCATCTGCTTGACCGTTGCCCTGTCCCGATCGTGTTTTCATAGTAGTGCCACCATCGCAACCCACGCCAATGAACCCCTTTTCAATATATATATATATTGCTACCAAAAACATACTGGCACTAAACATAGCACAGAAAATACTTATATGAATGCGAAAAAAAAGAAAAAGGAAAAAAAACAGAAAAATCCAACAAATATAACATCCCTATCATAAAAAAAATAATGACGAAATACCAGGGAACATATTCACAAGATTGCTTATTGTGTATGACCTGCATCATACAATGTACATCAAATGTCAGGCAAGAAAATTATACATACAGACATTATTATTTCTATGTTTTCCATCATACAACCTATTTGGTATGTTATGCATGCTCACACTGAAAGAAAAAAAAATGAAATTATAGAAAAACTACACATTTTATAACGTCAAAAAGTTAGCCTATATTTATAAAAAAAGGATCACAGTTCTCTTAATGAGAACTGCTTATGTGACTGTATTTATTGAAAATAGTTGGTAGATTGTATTGCAATGTTTGAAATTTCTAATTATTGCAAAACCTCGGAACAAACCAAACATCACTGCTTCTTGTATTTAAGAAAATATTTTTTGCAGTTAAGCATGCGGCATTTTTAATGAATTGTTTAGAATAAATAGAAGAGAAAAAGCAGGATCGCAGAATGTGAAAGGTGTAGATATATTCAACTAAGAATACCGTCGCAGTCCCGACACACAAGTTGTGTCGATGACAAATAATCTAAATTAGCTACCTGTCTAATAACTTTTTTGTGCAGGATCTGAAGTTTCATTGTTGATGATGATATATGGTGTTTTTTGGGGCAAGGGCCATTTGATGGCCAAAGAGCGCCAGTTCATGGGACAAAGAATGT